TCATATGCCTAACAGTGCATTCTAGGCACAATAGAAGGCAAAAATTTACAGTGAAAGTGGAAGTGAAAGTCACTCAGTCGTATTTAACTCTTGCCTAGAATTCTCTAGGCAAGAATACTGGAGTGGGTAGCCTTTCCCTTCTCCAGGAGATCTTCCCAACCTAGGAATCAAACCCAGGTCTCCCACATTGCAGGTGGATTCTTCACCAGCTGAGCCACAAGGGAAGCCCAAAATTTATGACATGCCTTTATTTCACAAACATTTACAATGTTTTTGGAGTAACTAAATGAACATACTGCTTCTTTTCCAGTAAAGCTCATCACTGTACTATGCCATACTTCTGAAAATACAACACCACTGGAACTGTGTAACTGAAGGTATTGTATTAGGAAGAAAATGAAAAATAAATATCTGTGGTCACAGCTGTGAGGCATTCTACTGTGCTAAGCTGCTATCAATCACAATGGTTTACTCAGATGTACTAACTCTATCCAACACCAAGATCCTTTGGAAACACTAAAGACTCAAGTCAAAATTATGTTTATAAGACAAAAGAATCAATGTACTTATAAATTTAAATACCTGTAAGTTGGATATTTAAATGCTAGAAATAGCACTAAATTTAAAAAATAAAGTAAAACTCCCTTGTTTTAAATTATTTATTCATACAGACACATATTTTCTTATGAGCCAAAATGAGAAACAGGTAAATGTGAATTTTTTATACTTTCACAGAGCAACAATCTTTCACATAGCAAAGAACAGAAGCAAACAGATGCTCACGTTGGGAAGGATTATCACCCAATTCCCTGTAGAAGTCCAGCCCAGTGAACCTTCTCCAATTTACTAGGGATGTCACATGTAAAAGAGTTTCTCTAATAGGTTGGCAACAGCATTTGCCAAGGAAGTCAATTGACAAAGAAATTAATGGCAGCAAACTTCACTGCAAGAAGAATGGTATAAGCTGCTTCAGAAAGATGAAAAGATTGTGGTTCAACTGCCAACATTGTGTGATATAGAATGTGAATGTAAAACCTCAAAAAGGAAAGTGAAGATTCTTCTGTGTGTCTGTGCCTGTATGTGTGTGGGGTGGGCAGGAGAGCGGGGGAAGAGGGAGAGAAATGGAGGTGGTGAAGAGAATTAGGGAGAATAAGAAAGATAAGGGACTTCCCTGCCAGTCCAGTGGTTAAGACTTTGTCTTCCAATGGAGGGAGTGAGGATTTCATCCCTGGTTGGGATGCTGAGATCTCACATGGCTCATGGCCAAAAACAAACAAACAAACAAACAAAAAAACCCAGAACATAAAACAGAAGCAATATTGTAACAAATTCAGTAAAGACTTTTAAAATGATCCACATCAAAAGAGAGGAGCAGGGGAAAGGAAGTGGAGAAAGACAGATAAACCTTGGAAAGTGGCTATTTCTCCTGAATAAATACTATGGTCAGCATGATAACACTCATGCTTTATAGAATTAAACATAAACCTCTTTCAGAAAATGTAATTGAAGCCCTTTCAAATTTAATGTTCCTCGATTATATATCAAGTAAGGGCAGAGATGGAAGGAAATATAGAGAGGAGGTTCAGAAAGAAAGAAGGATTCATGCCAAGCCTAGGACTTTAGGGAAAACTTCCAGTTGACCACTAATGGGAACCATTTCAGGGAAGGCAGAATTTTAATTCCTATGATGTCATATTCCACAATTTACATCTTCATTGAGAAAATACTGATGTCGAGTGAAGTGATATAGGAAGTAATTTTCAAGGAGAGGTTTAGTAAAGATAGGCTAGGTGAGAGAAATTACATTGTTTCCCCTGAAATTATGGGAAGATGTACAGAGAGGGGGAATCACCAGATAAATATTAACACTACTCCATTTACGTTTCCACATGGGTAGAATGGCTTCTCTGGTAGTTCAGCTGGTAAAGAATCCCCCTGCAATGCAGGAGACCCTAGTTTGATTACTGGGTCGGGAAGATCCCCGGAGAAGGGATAGGCTACCCACTGCAGTATTCTTGGCCTTTCCTGGTGGCTCAGCTGGTAAAGAAACCACCTGCAATGCGGGAGACCTGAGTTTGATCCCTGTGTTGGGAAGATCCCCCTGAAGGAGGGCATGGCAACCCACCCCAATATTCTTGCCTGGAGAATCTCATGGACTGAGGAGCCTGGCGGGCTACAGTCCATGGGGTCACCAAGTGCCAGACATGACTGAGCGACTAAGCACAGCACTGCATGGGCAGAACACTTTGAGATTGGTGTGTGTGCGTGTGCGCAGTCATGTCAGAGTCTTTGTGACCCCACAGATGGTAGCCCATCAGGCTCCTCTCTCTGTGGAATTTTTCCAGGCAAGAATACTGGAGTGGGTTACCATTTCCTTCTCCAGGGCATCTTCCTGACACAGGGATAGAACCCGCATCTCATGCATCAATCAGCAGCACATTCTGTACCGCTGGGCCACCTGGGAAGCTCAAGTGAGTTTGGAAGGCTCCCAGTATATTTGATAATAGTTCTTCTTTTATTTTCTATTTTTATATATACCACCACTATTTATATTAAAGTAGAAAGCCTCATAACCAACATTGTGCTTAGGAGACATCAATTATACAGACATTAACCTCATAACATAAAGTGGGTGATTTAAACAATTGGACATGTCTGATTACATGTGTCCATTACTAAACCATGAACAGAGAACAATGCACAAAGGCTTCCTTAGCCAGGCATCTTGAGGCTACAGCAATGAAATTGGTTATAGTCAATCATATAGGGAAATGGGTTCATTCTGACTCAACACAGATAAATATTTTTAGATTTCATCACTGAGATTCAACCAACAACTTGGTATTTAATAATGGAAAGCTATGTTTCCTTTTTTTAATTTTTAAAATTATTTTCTACTAAACTTTTACTTTATGTTGGAATATGGCCAATTAACAATGTTGTGATAGTTTCCAGTGGACTGTTTGACTGGTATTTATTCAGGATCTTGAATGCAAAAGCATCTCCAAACTGTGGAAAGATTATGCCGTGAACCAAATTTACTGTGAAATATACTATTTCCAAAATGTAACTGCATTATTCCAGTGCCTGGTTAACCACTTTCTTGTCAATTGTAACAAAATAAGTGAATGAAATAACATATGCAAAATACCTAGAAGACTGACTGGTACATAGTGGGTATTCAGTATATATATATATATAAACATATGCATATGTATATATACACAGACATATAGGGAAGGGAACGGCTACCCATTCCAGTATTCTTGCCTGGGAAATCCCAGGGACAGAGGCGCCTGGCAGGCTACAGTCCATGGGGTTGCGATGAGTTGGACACAACTAAGTGACTAACACTTTCATATATATATACATATATATATATATATATCTCCTTTCTCTGTTATACTTTATATTCAAGAGACATAAAATGTTGCATTTACATGAAATATAAAGTAATGATTTTCTTTACAAGATCATTTTTCCCACCACAGTATTTATTAAATGGCAAGCTTTATTAATGTACTTACCATCATAAGATACACTAAACTACAAATGTGCAGGAAAACATTTATTATGTGGAACTGGGTGAACATCTATTACAGTCTATTCCATCACTGACTGCAATTTCTAATTCCAATATATCAAGTTTCTGATTAGAACTCCTGCCACAAATTTTTCCATTTTATTTATGGCACTCTTCCTCCACTCCCAAACTCATCATTTGACCATTTCTGAAATTCTTGCTCAGTATAAAGCATTCAAATAAAAACCTGAGATACTGCCAAAGGTTCAATTTGGATCAGATGTCATATGTGCAACTCCTAGCTGTTACTTAGTAAAATGTGTGGTTATTCAATTTCTCACTTTGCAGTCATGACAAGTGTTGCATAGACATAATAGACATGACAGAATATGACAAACAGAAATATTAATAGGAACTTCAAAGTTTGTGCATGTTCATAGAACATACACATTTATGGTGTCTACTTAGAGAGCAAACTCTTAGAGTAAAAATATATGACCAATCTTATTATTTATCAGATTTAAAAAATTATTGATAGCTTCAGAAAATGTAAAAACATATTAAGTATAATTTGGAATCGTGTTGAGGCTCTCTATTGCTGTTTCTCCCAGAAACTACTTTTTCTTTTTTCCAAGAAGGTAAGTGAAAATATGTAATATTTAAAACTGGCTGTTCTCAATCCATTGGCTCTGTTCCACTATCTCTTTATCAGACATTCATAATTAATGGTGCGTATGAGCAAGAGGTGACTCTTTGATAAGAAAACGTTTGCATCCATTAATATTTCATCCATTTCTAAGGTAGATAGCGCTGTGGTGCTGAAAGGATAGCTCCTGGTCACCTGTCGACACACTCGAGTTTGCTTCGCCAAAAAAAAGGACTAAATAACAGAACTGAAGTAGGCACCCAGAAGACACGAAGAGAAGACAATTACCTTCCTTATAACTTCATAACACTTCTCCAAAGACATCTAATTTAAATTTCTTTAAAAATTTTTATGTACAGTGTAGTTGTCAAACTAGGATTTCTTTTAAAGCAGTCCTTGTCTGGTTTATATTCCCCAAAGTAAAACCCCGAGGAAGATATTCCAAAGAAGACATGACAAAGTTAATTACACAGATGTCTGACACTGAAATTTAGAGGTAGCATCCTCAGTAAATACAGTGAGGGAAAGTCTAGAGACTTTGTAAAGGCTGGAGAGGAGAACGTGGGGAGAGGAGTTCTGTCCAGGCTCAAGCTTACACTCCTTAGTCAAAGACAATCACGCTCACTAACCACCCCGGCAGTCCATTTTCGGCCAGGGAGCTCAGCCCTCGGGGTACCATTCCAGCAAAAGGTAAATTAAGACAAAGACTCCACAACCCCGTTGGGGGAGGGTAGAAAGGTGAAGCGGCATTGGGGTGCAGTAACGACCAGAAGGGAAAGTGACCTCATTTTGTCTGAGGAAGCACCACCGGAGAGGCCACCTTTGATGGAGATGCCGAAGGCGGTCAAAGAGCACAAAGGGTCAAAGCTGGAGGGAGCAAACTTCCCTGTTCTTCCACCCCATCCCTCAAGCCCGCGGGGAACACTCAGAGGCAAGGACAACAAAGCGTGCGCTCCGGCGCCTGCAGCCGGGCCATCCCGCCCGCGGGGCGCGCGGCTCCCGGGCGGCAGAGCTAGGGCGCCCGAGCGCGGGCGCAGGCAGGACCGCGGGGGCTGGGGGAAGGGGCTCCCCTACCTTGAACAGCACAAAGAGGCAGAACAGGAGGAGGCGGCGGCCGCCGCGCGTCCTCGTGGGCAGGTGCCCCATCGCGGCGTGGACGGGGAGCCGGGAGTACGGTGGCGCCGCCTGGCTCCGCCGGCGGCTCACAATGGCGAGCTGGGGCTGCAGCCTCAGACCCTGGGCGCCGAGGTTGCTCCGGGAGGGCGCATCCTGCCTTTCCAGTCCCCCTGCGCCTGCTCCCCTTCCGCCTTCTGCACCCGGGATCCTCTAGGAACACGCCGGGCGCGGCTGCTCTTTAACAGTTAAGGATGGTGAGGGTGGGGATTGGAGTGGGCGAGGCTCTGGCGCGGCGGCCGCGTGGGGAGCGGGAGGCGGGGACCCTGCGCGCCGCCCGCCGCGATCCTCCGGCAGCGGAGATACTCACGCTCCGGGCTGCGGACTCGTAAAGAGACAGAAGCCGCGGGGCCCTCCCACCAGGGTCCGCCCGCCGCCTCGCAGCGCTGGACGGCCCCTCACTCCAGGCTCCGCCCCAACGCTTCCCACAGTCTCTGGGACGCAGGAGTTCTTCCCGGACTCCTCGGGAGCAATTCAGGAGCTGGAAACCCGGGGCCCCTCTAGATGCATCTACATCTGCTACCAATTGCAGGCTCCTCGTCCATGGGGATTCTCCAGGCAGGAGTACTGGAGTGGGTTGCCATTTCTTTCTCCAGAGTATCTTCCCGACCCAGGGATAGAACCCAGGTCTCCCGCATTGCGGGCAGACGCTTTAACCTCTGAGCCACCAGGGAAGCCCTTTCACTTTCACTTTTTCTTGGGGGTGGGGGGAAGTGGTGGTTGTGAATGTAGGGATGGAGCACTGTGTGTGTGTGTGCGTGCGTGTGCGCGCGTGTGCGCGCTGGTTCGTGTCTGACTCTTTGCGACCCCATGATCTGTAGCCCGCCAGGCTCCTCTGTCCTTGGAATTTTCCAGGCTAGAATACTGGAGGGGGTTGCCACTTCTTACTCCAGTGTATCATCCGGACCCAGGGATTGAACCCTCAGCTCTTGCGTCTCCTGTATTGGCAAGCGGATTCTTTACCGCTAGCGCCACCTGGGAAGCCTACTGAGGCGGATAATCCTTCCCGTTTCCACGCTTTCTCCCATTTCAACGCTGCCATTCTCCAACCTACGGTATGGTACTGGGAGCTCCGCCGGTTGCTCTGTGATGAGCTAAATGGGAAGGAAATCCGAAAGAGAGGAGATATGTGTACAGGTATGGGCTTCCCAGGTGGCCTTAGTGGTAAGGAACCTGCCTGCAAATGCAGGAGACATAAGAGAAGTGGGTTGGATCCCTGGATGGGTACGGTCCCCTGGAGGAAGGCATGGCTACCCACTCCAGTATTCTTGCCTGGAGAATTCCTTGGACAGAGAAGTCTAACAGGCTATTGTCCATGGGATCACAAAGAGTCTGAAATGACTGAAGCTACTTAGCATGCGCTCATGTACAGATATAGCTGATTCACTTCACTGTACAGCAGAAACTCACACATTGTAAAGCAACTGTACTTCAATAAAAATTAACAAAATAAATAAACACTCTCCTTCTCTCTATCCACCACGCACCCAGGAGGAACTAGCGTGTATATCTATTTTTTTCTGTTTGAAATCAGAAGTTTTGTAAACTCTAAGGGCTGTCCTTTGGAACTTGAGTGGAATATAAGGAGGAGGTTTGTTCACATTATATGGCTCATATTTATAAACACATAAACACTGATATACTTTTTAAAATGCTTACTGATTACAGAAACTATTGAACTTTTCCAGAGTCATATGTCATTTTACATTCCCACTATGAAAGTGTGAGTAGGAGGAGGGGAAAGAGAGGGTGTGTAAGTTAAAAGTGGTGATAAAATAGTTCTGTATCTTGACTGTGGTGGCGGATGCACAAGTCTACCCAGATGATGAAATTGTATAGAAACACACACAAATGAGTGCATGTAAAACTGGTGAAATTTGAATAAGGTCAGTGAATTCTACTACTGGCAGTTGTTTGATTTTAATACCTAAATACCATAGTTATATAAGATGTTACTCTTGAAGGAAACTGGGTGGAGGTATATGGGACCTTTCTGTATGATTTTTTTTTTAATTGAGCTATAATTGACATGACATTGTGTTAATTTCACAATGTACAACATATGATTCCATATTTGTATGCACAGATGGCTGGTATGTATTTGTGTATCTGAGAAAGGTTTAGATTGAATATATCCACATGAGTATATGTGTGTACTGATTTATTATTTGCATAAATATAGAATAATGGTCTGAATTTGTGCCTTTGGTGTTTTCCTTTAGAAACTACTTTCCTTCTCACCTTCTTCTCTTCACATGCTCAATTTAGTGCCCTTATGTCCACACTTGATTGGCCTGGGCTTTCTCTTTCTCTTGAGAAAATATTAGTTGTTTCTCCATCCCTCTAAGTCAGAGTCATGGGTTATCTGAAAATTTTATTCTTGGGACTAGACTTGTAGGGTTTTGGTTTGGTATATTCTCTTTATATTCAGAAGCTCCTAAAAGCAGAATTCTATTCCCACTCACTCCCAAAAGTGACAGTAAAAAGTGTCTGGAACCAAAAAGATGTTTAGGCCAGTGACAAAACCACACTCATAAGTTTCCAACAATTTCTTTTTTTTTTTCTATTTTAAATAAAGTTAGATTTTAAAGTATGGGTGCCCATGTTGTGGATTATGAATATATATAAAGATACATATATGTGTGCATATGTTCAAGTATGCATGTTTAGATGGGCTTCCCCGGTGGCTCAGTGGTAAAGAATCCACCTGCACTGCAGGAGCAGTAGGAGACACAGGTTCAGTTCCTGGGTAGGGAAGAAACCCTGGAGGAGGGCATGGCAACCCACTTCAGTATTTTTGCCTGGAAAATCCCATGGACAGAGGAGCCTGATGGGCTACAGTCCATGGGATCACAAAGAGTCAGACACGACTGAGTGACTTAGCACCCACCCATGGGTGTGTAGATACTACACGGATATAAGCTTAAGGATGTGTGTAGGGTGTTAGAAATACAATCTACTAATCATACATTCATCATGCAAATGCAAAAAGAGCCTTCAAAATAATGTGCATTTTTACAATAATGATCTTTTCTATGTTGTTTTCCATTTTTCTCTTTATCACTTACATCACAGTTCGCTTAGCCCTTTATCGCCTGTACACTTGAACATATGGATCACTTTTGGAGAATGATAACAGTAAACAGTAGACAGTAAAGCACTCTCCAGTGAAGAATTAGTTGTTAACATTTTTAATATTCCATTCTGATACTGTGATTAGGTGGCCTGAAGACTGAGGGTATTATTTCATAATCCAGAAAATGTTCTCTTCAGAGAAGGTATTTCACTTCGCCATTGCTGGATAAAATACTTTCATTTGTTTTTATTGCACTTAAAAATATATATATTAAGAATCTTTCTGGGAGAGACACCCAAGAAGGCAAATGCTGCATCATCACCTGTGTGGGGTTTTCAATTCATAAAGCCTGCTGTGTGCTTTTTGAACTATTGATTGGTTTTTTCAGTGCAGTACTTCCAAAGGATGGTGAATCTTATTTTGCTATTTTCAGGACTCCAAATCCACAAGAATGGCCATGGGCAACATAAGGTGCCTATAGTAATGTATGCTTCAAAATGCTTGTTGTGATTACATGATCACAATGACACTGCTTGATAAAGAAGGCTGAGATTGTTAGCATCAACTGTTTTCTCCATAATGCTGCATTTCTGGGAGAAATAATAAATGCAGATAAAACAGAATCTCTTGCGTTCCCTAAGACAGGCATCTAAAAATGAATTCTCACAAAATGAAATAAAGCTCTCTACTTTCTTAGGAAATAAGAAGAAGGTGGTTAATGAGCAAGAAACTGGAAGACCTTTTTTTTTTTTAATCTGCAAGAGACTTTGCTTTGGTTGGGAAGAATAATCTTTTCCTAAATAGATGAAAAAAAAAAACAAAAAAAGAGGTGCCCAGGACTAAGTGTTTACATCTATCTCTTCTGTAGAAAGAGAAGCAATAGCAGCCACAGAGAAGGAGCTGTAATCCCTATGAGAGATTTAATGAGGAGTCAGATGGAACTCTCACTGTGCCCTTGCCAATGAAGTTCAATTCTGTTCTCCAGGGACCAACTCTAATGTAGTTCAGTGTGTTTAGTCCTGGCTTCCACCGCTGAAATCGCCTACCAGGCTGTCAGCAGTTTCAGTGTGATAGGATTGTATTTATGGGAGTTTCTCAATGAGAAATAGTTTACTGTTTAAGGAATGCAGAAAAAAACTCCAGTCACTGATCTCTAGAATATAATCCATCTAAGAAGTTCACTAAGAGCCATGCATTTTGTCATCTATATCTCACATATTATAGTTGTTATAACATAGGTACTGCAGATTATATGTAACATGTTCTCAAGATCAGATGACCAGGCAGCATTTTGATTTTCAATTTATTTGAGCATTTGTTTTCATTTTACTCTTGATGAACACTGGTTTCTCGCCTAAAAGATGTGTTGACAATTCACAAATTCTGTCTCAAAATGGGAGTGATTGGCAGCCCTCAGGTGAACACCAAGTTTCAACTGCCAAGACTTATTATTCTTGCCACACTTGAAAAACAGTGAAATTCACTACAGAAGGTCATTTTTGCTTTTGCATGTAGTCTGTTTTCCCATTACCTCTTTTTTCTTCCTAAATAATTCCTGTTAAGGCATCTATCTTTTAAAAAAAAAAAAAAAGACTGTATCATGGTTTTAAGAAAAATCAAGTAAGAATATTGTACTACAAGGTAAAGACTTCCTGACATAAAATTATCCACTCAAAGGAATAAGAAAACAGAAAACATGAGCAGATATTTAGCACTGGACACAAACTACAGGCTGTAGATGAGTGATCCTAAATCAGGAAGGCAGACTGTAATTTTAAGATACTATTCCCTCTTACAGTTATTTTCTAAAATTGCTGTGTGCTGTTAACATTTTCTTTAATAGAACAAAATTTAAAAAAATAGAATACATTAAAAAGCCTTAAGTCATGCAGCCTTATTTTATATTTTGTTTCTATGCATTAGCTAATGAACTTTAATTATGCTTTATTCTGAGCTCCCAGACATTGATATCATATAAGCATCTAATTTTTCTTCTAATTAACTAGGCTTCTTGACCAATTATAATTTAAACCATTAACACCTGCATCGGAGGAGTCACTTTAGCTTAGCAAACAGCATGACTAAAACTTGAATATAATTTATAAATAAAGACATA